AGCCATTGGTCACATGAGGGCCTAGGAATGTGGCATCGCCAGCGGATTCCAGTGACTCATGACAGGAAGGAAACTTGATTAAATATCCTCTTTGTGTCAGGCCCTAAACAAGGCCCTTTGGCAAATGTGATGTCATTTAATCCTCCCAATTACTCAGCAGGCAAGAATTGGTTTCTCCAAAAAGAATGAAGCACTGATATGTAGATGAACCTCGGGAACACCATGCCCAGAGAAAGGAGCCAGACACAAAAGCCACAGAGTGTATGAGTCCATTTACAGGAAATGTCCAGAACAGGCGAATCCACGGAAACAGAAAGTAAGTGAGTGGTTTCCAAGGGCTGGGGGGAGGGGAGAGGGGAGCGTTCTAAATATTTTGTAATTTCCATTTATGATTTCTCCTTCGGCATACATTACTTAGAAGTACTTTTTATCTCCCAAATGCACGGAAAGTGGCTTTTACATTGACTTATTTTTTAAATAGTGATTGGTTCAGGGAGGGCATGTGAGCCAGGTTGGTCTAAGGAGATTCAATCCTGGAACTTTTACTGAGAATACTGGGAAAGAAAAGCTACTGGGGTGCGGAGGCTGGTGATTTTACCACAACACAGGACAGCCCGTCTGAGAACGAAGCCAGCACAATTGCAGAGAGAAGAGACGGAGAGAGAAATTGTTTGGGTCTCGAGTTTTCCAGTTGTATGAGCCCATCTGTTCCCCTTTAGGGGCGTTAGATGGTTTCACACGGGTGTCTGTCACCTACGTTTGAAAGAATCCTAACGGATACCTCTTCCCCCACTCATTCCAAAATACCTGTACTGTAAATATAATAAAATATCCAGATCTAATGCCCATGTCTCAGGCCTGCATCACAAGTGTAATCCCCATTACTACCCAGCTCCTCTCCACAAACCAGCTGAGACGTGAGAGTGATTATCATTCATATAAATGAAATGGTGCCACCTATCACCATGTCACACAAGATCTTAGGGAGAATGCTGTGTCTGCAAGACCGTTACTCGGGCAGACCCTGGGGCCCCCGGAGAGCCTGGCGGTCACCCTCTTGGCAGCCTGGAGAGAGCGTCCTGCGAGGCCCAGGCGTTCAGGCCGCGAGGGTCAAGGGCAACAGACAGCGACTTGAACCCTTGAACGTGAGTCCCCCCGCGTCCCAGTGGTGATTTGCACTCAGGCTGCTCCTCATCCGGTATACAGCAGCAGGATTTTATTTATGCAAAGATGAGAGAACAGTCGGTCAATGATAAATTGAGTAGCTAAATTCATCAAGTTCCAGCGACTCACTGCGCAGGGATCACCTCACTCAATACCGAGAGGCAGGCACAATCGTTCCCTCCATTTTTAAGCTGAGAAACTGAGGCCGACAGGGCAGGTTGCCGCAAAGCACGAAGTTAGTAAGGGGCCAAAGAGGTTGATTTTGAAGCCCAAGGACTCACCCACCCCAGGACTGTCACACCCAGGAGGTCCTGATGGTTGAAGTCCGGTTACCTGAGTGCCTGTGGGCGTGCAGAGGAAACTAGAAATGTCATAACACAGAGTTTCGCTACTGAATTGACCGTTTACATAATCGGGCTCCACTCAAATACCCTTCCCGGCAGGGCTCCAGAATCTCTCACACACGCCCGACGTTGAAACGCCTGGAAATCATGTTGTGAAGCTGCGGAAGCATAGTGCAAATCAACTGCAAACCCAAATTGTAAATCTTATGAAAGATGCAAGATTTCAGAAAGCCCATAAATGCAACACTGAGACATGTTCAGATCAAGCCCAAAGCCACTGGCCAGCGTGGGAGGGCCTGGCAGCCAGAGACAGGCAAGCCGCTGAGGAGGAGGAATCTGACAGCGCTAATGACAGGACGTACTTCAACAGGAAGCGATTTGAATATCAAAGGATTAAGAGAGGCTCTTGGGAAAATTGATGGTGCCCTCATACATTTTAGCAAAACCAATCCTCTTTCTAACGGAGCTGGGAAAATCACACACCATGTGAAGGATAATGTGTTGAGCTATCATACAATTTGCTGGAAGAATTATGACCCTGCCAAATCAACACTCGATTAATTCTTTGTTGGTTCTACAAATTAATGTATAATTGCATTAATAACCTAAAATTCCTTGACTATAAGACACATTCAAGATATTTTCCCTTTTTTTTTTTTTTGACTTTTCAAGATAAATCCTCAAACTGTTTTGCCTACTCTTGAGACTATTACTATTTGATTCCCATTTTAAGTGAATTCACTACAGAAATCTTTCTTTCCGGTCCAATGACTGCTCTGCACTGGAGAGCAGTCAACAGCAGACAACGGGCTCCTCTTCCATTATTCTAAGTGTGTCAGTTCTGCCCACACGTCCATTTAGGCCACAGGAAGCCCCCTCTGCAGAATGCCACCACCCATCCTAGGACAAACTTCCCATCTCTCGTTTCCTTCATACTCAAAGACCTAGACCAAAAAATAGCCAAATGACAAGCGTTTCCATATTTGCTTAACAGTGTCATCAAAACATCATCCACTTTGTTCTTCACCATCTCTTTTACAAAAGTGATAAGTTTATTTCAGAGTTTTTTTTTTTTTTTTGGAGGAGGGGGCCAGATTTCTGGTGTCTATTTGCCTACAGAGAGAGAATACATGAACAGGTGCCTAAAAGTGAAAGAACTTTTTGAAGGTTTCAAATGGCAAAGCAGTACACTGGCAATTTGCTTTTGGGGTGTGTGTGGGTGGACGTGTGTTTAAATTTAGAAGCAACCAAAACTCAGACTCTCCTGAGAAATTGATATGCCTCCTCCTTCTTGAGTATTGGAACCAGGAAGCTCATAATCTTTCCCTCTGTGAACTGGCTGCAAGAAAGCTCAAAAACAAGTTTCCTCTTGATTTTTACGTCTATCTTGATAATGTTTTTTTATACATGCCTTTTATTTTAGGCCACCAGAAATCATTTTGGATGGAGCATGCTTCATTTGACCTGACTTAGATTGTAGAGAGAATCACTAAGTCATGGGAAAGGAGTAAAGACATTAGGGCTGCCTAAGGGGTGAAGTGGTGTGGACAGACTAGGCTAGGGAGAACTGCACCTGGACAGGGCTGTCAGCAAACTGGACAGAAAGGCTTCTGGGGGTGGGGTTTTGAAGGGCTATTAATCCCCCGAGGAAGAGTCTCGAGGCTCAAATTACTGCAGTATCAGCACAAGATTCCCCCACCTGCCAATAAAACTTCCAGCTGGGAGAAAGGGAGGATAAGCAGTGGGGGTCTCTCAGGGTTCTCGGGGAGGAACCAGAAATCATCCTGCTGAAGGGGCAGCACTGGTCCCTCCTCTTCCCCTTTACCTGGGCACGTGTGCCACCAGACCAGTAATTAAGGGTAAGGGTTTGGAGTCCAGAACCAGCCCTACCAGCTTTGTGACTTTGGGCAAGTTCTCCGACCCTGAACATCCTGTCTATAAAAAAGGGGATGATAACGTTTCTACTCAATGGGGTTGTTAAGATTCAATAAGTTACCATAAATAAAGCACTGGGAACAATGCCTGGCACACAGTAAGTGCCAGTGACACGGGAGGATATCCCAGATGGGCTTCTAGAGGGCTTGAAAGGGCTGTTACTTCACAGCAGAGAGGGCTCTGCGAAGATTCTCTCCTAGAAAACTCTACCCAGGCTCCCTGAACTCCTTCTCAGTGAGGCTCTGTCTTTCAGACTCCTGTGTGGTCTCTGCATTTTCCAGTTTTAGCGAGCAACCCCACCCTCCACATCTGATTGCCCTTGTTTCCCACTGGATTCCTCACCGTCCACCAACCCCCGGTGTTCTGGGCACCCGGCCTGCCTTCAGCAAGACTCCCCCTGGCCTGGTTTAGCTGGAATCTCCCACCCCCGGGGGCCCCTCTCGGTCGTCACTCGCCCCCGACCCCATCTGCTCCTGGGCGGTAAACCCCACCGGCCATGCAGTACTGGCACTGAGCCCGGCTCTGCACTGAGCCTCTCGTCCCCAACGTCAATAGCCCTGAATGCAGTCTGTGTCCGGCTCGAACTCCTGCCCGGCCCTGGGTTACCCCTGACAGCTCCCTGTCTAGGAGGGGGTCCTGGAGCCCACAGCCAAGGGGCCAGAGCCCCATCTCTGAGGTTTCCCCCACCACAGAGGTGAGGGGTCTCCATGAACCGCCTCCTGGAGAAGCCAGAGGTCCCTCTGCTGAGGGCCTGGGGCTGCAGCCTCTGTCCCCAGGCAGCGGACCCCGGGACCCAAGGTGCCCGGCCAGGCCCTTCGTGGCAGAACGGAACCCCACTGCTCCGGAACCTGAGGCCCCGGTCTGGGGACCGGAAATCACGCAGACTGCACTTCCGGCAGGGGCAGCACGGCGAGGGGGCGGGCCTGGCGCTGAGAGGGTGGGGCGGGGCCTGTCGGGGGCGGGGCTGCGGCGCGCTGGGGGGCCCGAGTGGCCTACGCTGCGTCACTTCCGGGCGCGGCGCGGTGAGTGTGGGCATTTTGGCGGGCCGGCAGAGGGTCTGGGGGGGGGGATGGGCGTTCCGGGGGACCCCTGCTGGCCCTGCTGTCCTCTGCTCCCGCCTTGTGGGTAGCGCTGCCCCTCCCGCGGGACCGGTGGTTTCTCCAAACACGGAAAGAAGCCTCCGGGGGCGGAGCGGAGGGCGGCGCTGTGGGGCGGGGCCCCCTGCTTTCGGCCGGGTGGTGCACCTGCGGCGCCTGCCTCCCTCCCCAGGCGCGACTGAGGGTCCCGGGCCCGAATGGTGCCGCGGGATGCAGTGGGGTCGTACAGAAACGCAGACGGCAGGCCCCGCGCGGGAAATGCCGCTCTCGGGGAGAGAGATTCCCCGCTGCCTGCAGAGACGAGCGTGTTTGCACAGTCTGCATCTCCGACCGGGCTGTCCATGCACACACGTGTGTCCGATCAGCGAATCCACCAAGCCCTGGGTGGAGCCTGATGGGCGGACAGACGCTCACTCTGAACGGGCCTCCTTGTGTTTCTGTCTTAAAGACTAGTGGCACTTATCTTGGAGCCCCAAGGCAGATCTGACGTGGTTGGATTGACTTAGTCCTTTTTTTTCTTTTTCACATAAACTAAAGGTGCCTTTGAAGAGGCCCAGCCATGGAAGGCAAACCGTTGGTGGTATCGAAACAGAGGACTGAAGTGGTGTGTGGAGTCCCCACCCAGGTGGTCTGCACAGCCTTCAGCAGTCACATCCTCGTGGTGGTGACCCAGTTCGGGAAGATGGGTACCCTGGTCTCCCTGGAACCCAGCAATGTGGCCAGTGACTTCAGCAAGCCGGTGCTCACCACTAAAGTCCTCCTGGGGCAGGATGAGGTAAAGTGGTTGGGAAGGGATCCCCACAGTGAAGGAGAAACTGCTTCTGTGGCTATAATTTGTCTATAATAGGGACATGGAGTGTCTGATAGGCAAGCCCCATCCCCATGGTGACAGCTTTTTCCGAGGCCTTCGTGGGTCTGAAGGCATCTGTCTGCCGTTGGTGGATGCCTTTCCCAGCCCATCAGCATCTTATCTAGCAGACAAGCAGAGATATTGTGAGCCTCCCTCTCAGTTTGACCCTGCTATGATATGTATGGTAATGAGCGGCTGTCTGTGCTCCATTCTGGAAAGATTGCCTGTGAGATTTGACAGATTCTCCTCTGCAGACTTGTCTTTTATTAGTCCTTCCAGATAAGAGAGTGCCAGAAGAGACGGAGAAGTCAGGAGGCACTGAGGACACGAATGTAATGATGCCTCCTTAGCAGTGTGTTTACGATGGAGTGTTCTGAGTCTCACTGAACTCAGAATCACTGTTGCATTGAGCTCCTCGGGTGGGGATTTAATGGTGTTGTGGGAAGCCAGTCTGGGTTCCTAGAGGATGGTTAATGAAGGCATTAAGGGAAAAACAGATTTCTTGCAGTTAAAATGGTTTTCTTCTCCAGCCTCTCATCCATGTCTTTGCAAAGAACCTGGTGACATTTGTGTCTCAAGAAGCTGGAAACAGAGCAGTTCTCCTGGCCGTGGCCGTGAAGGACAGAAGCATGGAGGGGCTGAAGGCCTTGAAGGAGGTGATCCAGATGTGCCAGGTGTGGTGACCCTGGAGTTATTGGCCACACCTGCTGTGCAACAGGGCCAAGTGGAAACTCAAGACACCTCCTCAATGATGTGAAGACTCTTTCTTCATTTAGTCAGAAGGAAGAAGAAGTATGCATGTCTCAGGTGACTCTTTGCTTGGTCGCTAAGATCATCAATGGATGGAGGACGTGGAATGTGTCTTGGGGGAGTTATGAATGGTTCTCACCAGGGTCCAAATAGTGGCATACATTTGGGAATTGAAAGAATGAGTTACTGGGCCTGAGTCATGCCCTCGATGTGAAGTATCAATTGTTAGAGGAAATTTTTTTTTTATTAAAAAGAAATGCATATCCCAAATACTTCATCATTCTTCTTAACAGTGCTGAGAAATTTCAGTCACACAGTCTAAGTGCAGTTAGCGTGCCTTAGGTAGGAGGAAAACTTTTTTGGCAAAAGTGTAGTCTGTGGTCCACATGGATGAGACAGGTCCGGGCAGCTGGCTGTGAGCACCCTCTTCATTTTGCTCCTCTTCCTGTGATTCCTCTGAGTGAGCTTGGGGAGCTGGAGGGCTGTCAGCTTCCATTCCAGAGACATTTCTTACTGTCCTGCTGTGTGCTGATTACTGTGCTAGTAACCAGGGAGCAGAGACCCAGCCTCAGGAGCCACATCTTCAAAAGCTGGGGAGCAGATGCATGTCACCCCACGGGCATGGGGCCAGCCAGGGGAGGGCCGGCCAGGGCAGACTAGGCAGCCACTGACTGCCCGGGAAGGCTCTGTAGGGAGGGACTGCTGAGTGGTGGGAGAAGCACGGCGGGGGCAGGGCGCTGCTGAGGTCAGACGGCAGGATGTCGGGCTGGCTGAATGTGGAGCCCGAGGTGGCAGAGAGCTGGCAGAGGGCCTGCTGTGCTGCACTGAGGCCTTGGGACTCGATGCTGAGCTCAGCAAGAAGCCGGCGAAAGGCTTTCAAATCGGGTCAGTTTGTCCTTTGGAAATAATCTCAGGAAATATTCCCATGGGTTGCAGAAGCACGGGGTGAGGCACTAGCTTCAGGATGGCGTTTATGCCACGAAAGTCGGCCCGTGACTGCCCCGGCCTCCAGCAGAGAGCAGCATGGGACCCACCTGGGCTCTCCCTCGTGCTCCCTCCAGCTGCAGGGATGTGGTCACTGGTGGTACCGGAAACCAGCAGGTTAAATCTTTGTGCCATTGGACTCAGTCTCGTGAGAAAATGGGGCAATGGAGAGCTGAGTTAGGAGACGAGACCCAGAAGCAAAGCCAGCTGGGATCCCTGAAATGGAGGGAGCCCCCAGATGCCCTCCCCGGGCATTTAGGATCACTTCTTAAGTTCATATGAGGAAACACCGTAGTGGCATCTGTGTGTTCCTGAGATCAGAAGGGGTATCTATCTGGTTTCTCAGAACCAACAGCTTCTGAAATCCTGCAAGTTTCTTGATTTTAGAAACCCCTCCAGAACAGGTGACAGGAGAGACTGGTCCAACCACCGGTCCAATTTAAAAATAACGTGGAGCGTGAGTTTGCTGAAGATGGGACAGGAAAACTGTTCAAGGGCTCTTCCCTCAGCAAACTGAGCATCTGGGTGTGCCCAGTGCTGTGTCCCTGCAGGGCCACCATCAGCCCTGCAGGCCCCTGTCCTTGCAGACCTCATAGTCTCATCCAGGGCACAGTTGGGTAAACCCGCAGGGACAGACCGGCTTCGGGGTGACTGGGTAACCTCAGCATGAGGAGGCCAGGAGTCACAGGTGGGGATCCGCCAGGCTTCCTGGAGGAGATGCTGACGCTGGAGCAGGAGAGGCGCCTCGCAGGCTGTCCCTGGGCTGCCCCCTACTATGACCTGCGTGCTTTGGGGACACCAGGGGAAACTGAGGCAGGGCCATCTCCGGGAGACACAGGCTTCCTTTGTGGCCAGCTTTGGCTCAAAGACTCCCAGCAGCTTTGCCCCACCTTCCTGGACAGCACAGCTCCCGCTCACCATCCTCTTTCTGCCCCTCGGGTGGACTTGAACTGCAGCCTCCTGGCTCCCATGACCTTCTAGCTCCCTCTGCGCTTGTTCCCACACCGGCATTTCCCCTGATCAGATCCTATGTGGCGAACCCCACGTGGTGTCTGCCTCTTGGAGGACCTGGACCAACACACGTTTCAAGGGCACAAAGGAGCTGACCGAGGAAGAAGGGAAAGGACTGTCCACACACAAGTGAGGACCCTGAAGGTGACTGTGTGTCGTGACAGGTGTGGGGGTCAAGTCACTGTGGGATAAAGGGAACTGGGGGTTGGGGAGCCAGCTGCTGGAGCACTCAGCCCCGGTCCTGGAGCCTGGGCGTGGCCTCGTCAGATTAATACCTCAGAGCAGCATTATGCAGACATCTCTTAGCTCAGTGTCAGCCTGTGATTATTCACCCTTGTCATCTAAACATGAGATGTTTTGTCCATGGAACCGAGGCTTCTCTCATGTAACAAGTGGGGACCTGGGGCATGGATGGGGCTTCAGTCTGAGCCTAAATCCAGCTGTGCAGCTCGTGGTGTTCTGATTGGGTCCTAAATGCGTAACAATAGGACCAGCTCACGCTGCCCATGGCCACGACGGCTCTGCGGTCAGCATTTTCTCACGTGTGGTAACGTGTTTAATCTTCACAACACCTGGGTGAGGGCGAGGCTCTCGTCATCTCCCTGTTACAGACGAGGAAATGAGGCATGGAGAGTCACAGCTGCCCCTGAGTGGCAGAGCTGGGATTTGAACCCTGGCGGAGGTCCCCAGAGTCCATGCTGCTCACCCGTCCCCGGGCCCCTCAGTGACACTCATTCCCGGGTTCTTTGTGGGGCCTCCTATGAGCCAGGCACTGGTGGTGCCCATGCCATCTGATTGAGTTCTCATGACCGCCTTTAAGAGGCAGGTAGGCAGTGGAGAAAATTAAGGCTCAGAAAGACAAGGTGAGTCGCTCAGCAATGCCCTGGTGATCAGAGGTGGCCCCGGATGTAAACGCAGTTGTGCCCCGTGTGACTTGTGCTGTCCCTTGGCTGCCCACCCCAAAGGTGGTGGTGTAACTGACGTATAATTGAAATCAGGGTCCCTAGCGCCCTCTCCAAGTCATATTTATTTACAGCTGCCCGAAGCTGTCTGGTAGCTCTTAAAAAATACAGACTGAGACTAAATTCTTCCGTCACTGAAGCCAGTGCCTTGCTGTTCTGCTCTGCCTTATAAATCAAGACCCGGGACTCGTGTGGAAGAGCTCCGGGCCGTTTGCTTTCCGCGGTGCTCTGCTCCCAGCTGCCATAATTCAGGAAGAGAGATACATGTTCCAATAAAGAGACCTATAAAGCCGTGGTTTCCGCAGGCAGGGCTGTCTGTGCTGTGGAAATTGTTATTCCTTTAGATGGAAAGGCTGCATATGGCGCTTACCCAGCGATCAGACTGTAATTACAACTTCCAGCAATTTACGGCCGAATGTAGATAATGAACGTTGGGCTGATTTGCCAGCCCCTGCGGCACGCACTGGTAGATGAGATTCACCCTTTCAAGGCCATGTCCTTGGCCCCACGTGGTGTGATTCATCCAACATGGTTTTCCACTGTGCTGCAAGCTGAGGCCCCCCGGCTCCCCTCCCTCCCTCCCTCTCCCTCCATTTCCTAAGTGGACGTGGGCACGCAGCTCCAGCTCAGAGCCAAGGGCGAGTGGGTGCCCTTGGAGGTCAAGAGAAGCCAGGGAGGGCGGCTGCTCTTGGTTACCATCCTGAGCAGCTTATCTGGGGGTTCCACCGAGCCCTGGACCCACCTGAACCAATTATGACAAAAAACCCGTGGAATCAGACAGCGGCACATGGGGACCAGCCGAGGAAGCTGGCGTCGGCTGTTCTGTTCAGCGCCTTGGAGTGAAATTGGAAATCAGGAGAGGGGCACTCGGGGAAGTGACTAGAATGTTGGCCCAATTGATGAGAATGAAATCAGAGAAACCGGAGTGCTGTGGAGGGTGGCTGCAGAGAGGTGCTCTGTCATCTTGGGTTTATTGTCTGGCATCACAGCCAGAGAACAGAGGACAAACCATGTCTTGTGTGGGGATGAGGACGGCTCAGGTGGGAAAGGAGGGCTCGTAAATTCCAGAAAGACTGTGAGGAGATGGAAGGCATGGAGCCCTAGGAAGGTGGGAGAAGTTTTCAGAAATAAGCCTAAGTTTGGGGACATTCTTACCAGGACCGTCTCTCCAATGGGTCCCCATAAAGCCCAGGGCAGAGGCAGGAGTGGCTGGATGCCCCGTGTGTGTGAGGACAATGGCCGACAGTCTTGTCGCATGGGCTCCATCGCCCGTGTAAGGTGGGCTGCACGGAGCCGTGTGCCCCATCCCGCGGTGAAGAAAGGGAGACCTGGAGGGCTGAGCACTGCTCTCTGGCGGGATCGCTAGAACCGGGCTGCCCACCACCCATGCCTGGGCCTTGAGAAGGGACGAGGCCGAATGTTCCTGGCTGGACAGAAGGTAGGATGGGGAGGCCTTGGGAGAAACATGGCAGCTGGAAGGAAGGAGAGGCAGGAGGTGGAAAGAGAGAGATTGAAAGCGGGGGAAATCTCCAAGCAAAAGAAACCCAGAAACACAGGCCTCAAGCGGGATGTCGCAGGCCCAGGGCCAGCACACAGGACACACACGCTCTGCGCTCAGCCGTCAACGCTCACCCCAGTCAGGAGCATAAGGATCGTTGAGCCCACTTCACAGATGGGAAGACTGAGGCTCAGGACCGTGCAGGGTGTCCACACCCCGCAGCCTCCTTTGTGGCCAGAGCTCATCCCTGCCCCGCATCCCGAGGACTGTGGTTCTTCGCCCAGGGAAGGTCTGCCACACGTGGTCGCCCCGTTAATGAGTGGGACAGGACTCCTGGGATTCCCTCCAGCTCCCTGATGCCAGTCGAGGGATGAGGGGACCGAAGACGGGAAAATGAAGAAGGATGAGCAGAGGGGGGAAGGATAACTGCATCTGGGTGTGGCAGACTCTGTGTCACCCCATGTAAGCCTCACTGCACCTTATGAAGTGGACGTCAGACCCCCCGCCCACACAGATGGCCAAAGAGATGAGAGACCCAAAGCCACACCTGGTCAGTGGTCCAGACAAGATCCACGCCCAGATGAGGGAGACTCTGCAGCCCGCTGGATGGTGGATGGGAGGGACGGCTGGTCCCAGAGTCTGGGCAGGGCATGGTGGAGGGTGTGGCCTGGGCTGCACCAGGCAGGTAGGGCCGGCCTAGCAGGGCGGGCTGGCTGGGCGGGAGGGAGTAGTTTTCTGAGTCTGGGGAGAGGCCAGGGCTTCGCAGGAGCAATAGTCTCTGGGACTGACCAGCCCGCTGTGAGGAGGGACAACCAAAGCTGGAGACTCCACTGTAGGCAGACGCCCCCACCACCCTCTCAGGCCTGAAGGCCTCAACAGACCTGGCCAAGGGGCCTGGCCACACGGCTGAGGGCGCCAGCAGGGAGGTGAGCTGTGTGCGTGCATGTGTGTGTGTACCTGTGTGAGTGTTTGTGTACACACCCACGAGAGGGGTGTGGTGTCCAAACTGGGGCCCCATGCACCCCCATGGGCTGGAGGGTCCTGGAGAAAAAAGCCCACTTTGGAATTCTGAGGGTCACAGCCCCTGTACCCCCACCCCCTCTCTGCCCCAGAGGCTGTGCCTCCTTCCAGGCCCCAAGATGCCACCTAGTAACCAAAAAGGGTCTCAGGCCAGCCTGACCAGGCCAGGCCCAGGTCAGTGCCCTTGCCCCAGCTCCACATGGAAGGGTCCCCCCCAGGTACACAGCCAGGGCTGGCAGCTCACTCTGGGGCAACGGGCAGGTATGGACAGGCTCCCGGCACACGCAGATTCTCTCTGGGGACTGAGGCAACAGGTCTGGAGGAGGGACACGGGCCAGGCATGGGCAGGACAGAAAGGACGGAAGCATCCAGGAGGGAGTGCAGTCCTGAACCTCACACTGGGGTCCCACTGGGCCAACAGTGTTGGCAGCGCTGGTCAGCCCTGCAGCTTGGAAGTTGAGAGAAGTCCACCTGCGGCACACCTGGCCGGCAGGACACTGGGCCGACTGAGACAGCCAGGCCCGAGCTCTCTCGAGCTGCAGCAGCCTACAGCCACCTTTAAGAGGAGCAGGTGACAGAGAGGCCAGTGCCTCCTGAGTCCCCACTCTGACTGGAGCTGCACATGGGGGTTCCAGTTGCTGGTAGAAACTGAGGCTCAGAGAGGCCCAGGGTTTGCCCAAGGTCACAGACACAGTGAGTGGCCAGGCTAGGTCCCAACCCACATGTCTGACCCAGGGCCTGCTCACCCCTGGCTCTGGGTCTCAGTGCCCTGTGAGGTGCCAGGTGAGGAGCGGGCGTCTTGGCCACCAGGAGGCAATGCTGCCCTGCTCGCCCACCACGTGAGGGACCCCAGAACCAGGGCTGGAAGGACCCTCAGTCCCCCACTCACCTCTTGGGCCCAGAGGAAGGGAAGGAATGGCTTTGGGGTCCCCAGGACGGTGGGTGGCCAGGCTGGGACTTGTCATCCAGGCCTACAGGTTGGTGCTGGGGGGACGGGGAGGCCCCCGTGGCCCAGCCGCTGCCCCGCCCCTCTTGCTTCCCGCTCCCACGTGTGTAACTTAGAGGCCTGAGCACCAGGCCCCTTGGCCAATGTTGAGCCCCTGTCCAGTCACCCCCAGGCCCCAGGCCATGGTGGGTATTAGTTGAGTCAGTGGCCATTGTGTGGGCTGGGAGGAAAGCCCAGTGGCAAGTCCTCCCTGCCACTCTCTGGGCGCCAGCAGGGGAGGGCCCCAGGCAGAACCACAGGACCTGGTGGGGCCAGCCTGGGGGAGCGGCAAGTCAGCATGCCCCTGCCCCCCTGTCCCCACCCCATCTCTGCCGGCCCAGAACGGGCAGCTCTCAGCAGCTGGAAGGGGCTGGGGGCAGGGAAGGAGGGACGGGAGAGCCTGTCGCTGTGGGAGAGCAGCCAGGAGCCCTCAGAGACATCCCCTGATGGCAGGCCGGCTGAGAAGGAGGCTGGGCAGGCCAGAGGTTTGGTGCCAATAGCAAGGCCAAGGAGCCACGGGCATCAGGTCACAGGGTGAAAGGCAGGCGCTGGCCTGAGGGCATTGAGGTTGGGGACGGGCGTGGCTTCTCAGCCACCCCACAGCCCGGCAGGGAGCTGGCGGGAGTCCAGTCACCTGGTCACAGTAAACAGTGGTCAGACGCCCCAGCTGCCCGGATCTGGGTCGGCAGGTCTGTCCTGCGCTGGGCTTGGTCAGCGTCCAGCCCCTAGGCAGGGAAATCAAGCCCAGCCAGTCCAACCACCTCTCCTGAGTGGGCGTGGGCTGTGGCACCGGCCACCGGGGCTGGGGTCTCATTTGGCTAGAGAGGCCCACGGACAGCCAAATGGTGCTCAGCCTCTCCCGGCAATGCCTACCTGGTACAGCCCGGCTCCTTCTCTCTCCTGGCGGAGCGACGCCACCCCCACCCACAGGCCTCCTGCTTGCTCACGGGCCATGCTTGGCGTGTGGTCCTGCTCTGGGATACGGGCCGTGGGAGGGCCACATGGCTGGGGGCCTTCCCCTGAGCTCAGGGCAAGGCACAGGGGGGTGTCCAGACCCCCCAGGGATTGCAGGGACCTGCATGCTGTACCCCAAGGAGGAGACTGGAGAACCCCACACTCATCTTGACTCCAGAGAGGTGAGGGGCCCGCCAAGGTGGCTGAGACCATGGGGAGGACAAGGCTGAGGGCCGAGGCTGCCTCTGGAGGGACCTGGTCAGGAAGCCAGGGAAAGATGCGGGTAGAGACGATGGGAAGCCTCCCCCGTTTGCAGAGTCCCAGGGTGATAAAATGCGAGCCAGGCCCAGGACTGGCTGGAAGGGCAGGGCCCTTCCCCAGAGTGTGTGAGGGGTCCTCGAGTCAGTAGGCGTCAGCGCCAGGGCTCTCTGGAGGCCTTCTTGGAGGCAGGGGCTGAACAAGAGCGTGCCAGGCTAGGACAGCTGTAGAGGACCCCAGCAGTGGCGTGGCCTGGCCTCCATCATCAGAGCAGGCGGTGGCCTTGAATGGAAGCTCAGGGACCCTCGGGCCGGGAACCAGCTCAGTCTGACGCCAGAGACCCCTCGCCCCCACTTGCCGCTGGCAGAGCCATGGGACGGGGAGACCACCAGGCCTCCCCACCTGGCGACCGGCCTCATCAGAAAGGCCTTGTCCCACTGTGTGTCTGCCTTTGAAGAAAGGGCAGAGCTTCCAAAGTCCGTCTGTCTGTGTCCAGGGTCCAGGGCCCCTCAGAGCCCTCCCAGAGGCCTGGCGCTGGTGCCACCAGCTGGGGAAGTCCTTCTGTCATCTAACCACATGCTTGCTGCTGTACGCCCAGTCATCCGCAGCATCAGCCTGGGAAGGACCTAGGCCTCGGTTTCCCCGCCTGAAGCACGAGTGAGTCCCCTGGGACCCTGCTGGTCCTGTCCCTGTCCTGATATCTGAGTCTTCGCCCTTCAAGGTCCCCAAGCCGTCATCCCTGTGGGCAGTCATGGTGCCATCTTCACAGTTGTGTGTAAATGGTAACGATATCCGTGATCAGAGAGTGTGCCCTGTGCACACTGAGCTGATGCTTCTGGAGGTCCCGGGGTGCCAGCCGGCCAGGCGCTGGCACCATGGACAGGTGGGGCTCAGGGGTGAGCACCTTAGGCATGCAGGAACTGACTTTGGCTGGAGAAGGTGTAGACCACAACCGCTGCCCCTGCGGGGGCCCAGTGGGAGCCCACAGAGGATGCTCGCTCCCGTGCACGGGGCATAGGCTGGGCGGGGCAGCAGGTCCCGGAAGCTGCTGTGGAGGGCGGGCAGGCGGCACACGCAAAGCCACCAGGTGGATGGGGAATTCCAGGTGGAATTTAAAGAAGTGGTGGAGAGAGGAGGTGACATCCGAGATGGCAGGACAAGCAGTCAGCTGGCAGAAGAGTCAGAAGGTCCGAGGCAGAGCTCAGAGGAGGCCCATGCTGGGTATGGGAGACTGGCGGGCAGGCTCAGGCAGGGCCTCAGGGCTGGATCTGAGAGTCAGGGCACAGCCTCAGGGCTGGGGGTTCCCTGGGGGGGTCAGTGCTGGCGGAGGGGTGGGGGAGCGGGGATTGACGGCCTCACCCCAGACCCTCCTGTACCCCTGGGGGACCCTGGACAGGTGGATGAGCCTCTCTGAGTCTCCCATTCCCACCTCCAAAGGGGCCTTGACCCCTATCGCACAAGGCTGCAGGGAGGGCTGGGTGGCAGGAAGGACGGGAACGTGTGGGCCTGTCACAGCACAGAACCCGTTTGTACCCAGAGCGGGGCCAAGAGATGAGCTGAGGCCCCCACCCTGCCACCACCTCTAGGAGACAGAGGGGCCAAGCCTCTTTGTACAGGGGCCTCTGGCACAGCGCTGACCACCAGTCAGGGAGGGCCCCAAGCAGGGCCCAGTGACCCATCTGTTACTCCCTCCCCACCAAAAAAACCCAGAAATGTTTCCAATGTACCTCTTGGGGACTGGGCTCTTTTAATTGAGGCGAAATTCTCATAATAAATTTACTCATTTTTAAGTAAACAACTCAGTGGCATTTAATACACCCACGCTGTTGTACAACCGCCACCTCCATCTCCTTCCAGAACTTTCATCACCCCAAATGGAAACCCGTACCCACTATGCAGTCCCAGCACACCCTGGCCCACTGCAGACCCCTCCCACCTATCTCAGGCCCGGGTGGCAGCTGCCTGGCCGTCTGGCGCAGGCAGGCGAGGGCACCTGGCGGCCAGCAGGTTCCTGGGAGCCAGCTGCCGCTGAGCAAACAGCCTGGGAGGGATAGAGTGTCCACAGCGGGAGGCGACAGCCCTCCGCTCCTCCCCTGCTCCTCAGCCCCTCCCTGCCGCAGGGAGCTCAGGTGGGCCACCCCAGAGGTGAGGCGGTGGCCACCCCTCCCCGGGCCTGGTACAGTCTCCAGATAGCGGCCTTGCCCCACCCCCACTGGGGCCGCCAGTGGGGCCACGTGGCCACAGGAATGACCAGCAAGGCTTTCCTGGAGGCCGGGCCTCCCAGAGGTAGGCCAGGAGCTTCCTGCCTGAGAGGTAGGCGCTGGGCCCGTGACCAAGGCTGGAGAGAGTAGAGGAGGCTGGGATGGGGCCTTGAGCGTGGGAGGCGGGAGGGGACGGTGCCCCAGCAGGTTGGCCAGCGGCTGAAGAACAGGCACTCAGGGCTAGCAAGTGGGCTCGGGGTGGCCGAGGGCCCTGTGGCAAAGCTGGGCAGGTCCTGGGAGCCAGTGGGTGGGGGCTGCACCCCATGCCATCTGCTGCGGCTGGCAGGGCCAGTCTGGCCAGGTTCCTGGACGCCACCCCAAGCAGTCAGGGCAAAGGGGCTCCCACACTTCCTCGGATATCTTTGGCCCCTAAAAAGCGGGTTCCCCGCCAGCCCAGGGCACCAGAGGTGGGGACCGCCCCAGGTCGGTCAGGTGACTGATGTCTGTGCCCGGGTGGCTGAGCCCTGGGGCAGGAGGGAGCCCCAGGCCGGGGCCTTGGAGCTGGGTCCTTGCACACGGAGGGCGCCCTGGGCTGCCCTGAATCAGGGAAAGTGGGCTGGGTGGTCATGGAGGGGATGGTGACGGATGCCCAGGGCAGCCCTGGGCATGTCCCCAGCCTGGAGGAGGAGCCCCTCCCACGCCCGCTCAGCGCAGCTGCCTCCCTGCCCCTCTCCCTCCTCCCCCTGGCTGGCACTAGGGCTGCCTCCAGCCGCCGGGAGCACCTTTGCCCTCACTCCTCCTTGTCTGTCCTCCCTTCGCCTCTGCAGATGACTAATGCCTCAGGGCTCCTGGGAACAGCCAGCGCCCCCCTGGTGTGGGCAACCTGGCTGCAGCCCAGCCCCCTGGCGGCCATGCCCACCGTGCCCATGGGGCGGCAGGTGGACCACGTGGCGAATGGCTCCCAGGACACCTCCCGGCTCTTCCTTACCACCGCACTGGCCCGCGGCATCTCGGGTATCTTCGTGTGGACCGCCCTGGTCCTTACCTGCCACCAGGTAAGCCGTCCCCTCTGCACCTCCCTCGGGCCCTGCTCTCTGTGGGATGTGGCCCTGGCTGGCCCTGCTGGGATGGAGGAACCTCAAGCGATGGCCTCAGGGCAGATATCAGGGGCCTGGCTGGATGGAGGAACAGTGCCCAGGGTCTCTCAGAGGCGGCATCAGGACAGGGCGATGGGGTAGGGGAGGGGGCTGTCCCCAGAACATGGCACGTGGGAGCCAGACCTGAAGACGGGAGGTCTCTTCCAGGCACAGGGCAGAGTGCAGAGTGCCAGCTGGGCGCCAGTCCCTTCCCCTGGAGTATTCTATCAGCCTCTCACCCTGTTCACAGAAGTCAGCGATGTCCCATTTCATAGATGAGAACACTGAGGCTGAGAGAGGCCGGGGGTCTTTCCCAGGCTCATGTAGCTAGGAGGGAAAAGGTCCTTCTCCCTCCGGAGGCGTGGCATCCCCAGGAAGCCTGGTGAGGGCTAGGACTTTGCTCTGTAGGGAGTTGAGAGCCGAGAGCTGGGTCAGAGCTCAGCTGGAGGGGACAGGGCTCCAGGAGGGGCCGCCCCCATCAGCCTCCTCGTGAAGGAGGCAACATGCCCAAGCCCGGAACAGTCACATGGGGAGACAGGGCAGCCCCCCAGAGGGAGGAGGGCAGGCCCAGCAGCCGGGAAGAGTCAGGGAGCAGGCAGCAGGGGGTGGTGCCCAAGCACAGCTGAGGTCCTGAGAATTCTCAGATACTCCAGAGGCGCGGGGAGGACACGCCTGCCCCGGAGAAGCGAGAGCAAGGGTGGGGGCGGGAGCTCGTGTGCAGGCCAGGGACATATAAGAGGGGCCTTGGACATCAGTGCAGAGGTTTGGCCTTCAGCCTGGGGGGTGCTGGGGAGCCAGGGAAGGCTGTTCGTGGGAGGAGCTGAGAGCAGAGCTGCCCTTCAGGGTGATCCAGCTGGCACTAGCCTATTCAGGAGGGGCCTTTCAGGCGACTGGCAGGCAGTGGGGCGGGCGGCCAGAGGCCTCTGAGGCAGGAGGTAAGAGTAGATGCCCCTCTCAGTGAAAGCCGCCTGCCATGTGCCTTGAATAACTAGAATAGAAGGTGAACAAGTGTGTAAGGGGGGCCAGGTAGAGTATGGTGTAGCTGAGAGCCGCAGGTGGAGGTGGTCCCTTCCTGTGGGGGCCATAAGGGAGGACTGCCTGGAGGAGGCAGTATTTGCGCTGAGTCTTACCATGCTGCCCTCAGGCATCTGGACAGGTAGACTGGACAGGTGGGTGGTGGTTTTCATTTGCATCAAGCCATGCCCTACACCCTGGTGGTGGAATAGTCTTAGGTCTGGTATAAGCTGTGATTTATAGGACAAGGAACAGCAAGGGGAGCAGGTGCCCAGAGTCCTGGGTGGGGGCTGTCCCTGTCCCAGCCACAGTCTGGGCTCTGGGTTCCCCCTCTGTCTAGCCCTGACCTTCTGTAATTCTGGGGACGGGCTGCGCCTGTGTCTGTGCTTCCTGGGGCCCCACAGCCTGCACAGGGCTGACGGAGACCCAGGGGCTGCAGCTCCTGGGCCCAGCGTCGTCCCAGACTCTCGGCCCATTCAGAGCCCAACAGGACAGAAAGGACTCCTTGCTTTAAGGACAGGAAACAAAGGCCAGAGAGGACAGCGGCTTGCCAAGTCTGCCCAGCCAGGCAGAGCCAGCACCGGGAGCGGAATTCAGGTCTCCTGATGGCTGGTCATGCCCTGCCCTTCCCACTACACCAGCTGATAAGGAGCCTGTGCCTGACGCCAGCCTGCCCCCGCCACTCCCCGTGCTTTGCCCTAGAAGCTGGGTGCACGCGGGCCTCTGCTCAGCCTGCCCTTCGCCCACCCTCTCTCCACCTCCAGCCTTCCAGAGGTGCTGTGGGACCACAGCCAGCCACCTGTGCGCCTGGCTCCCCGGCGCCTCTTCCTCCTAAAGACCCTGTCACTGTTTTTCATGTCCTGGTAGAAAACGTGGAAAATCTAGAAAGGTTTACAGACGACTGATAATCACTCATATTTTCCTGTCATCCAGGGATTAAAGGGTGATGCCTTTCCTTTCGTTTTCACCATGATTTTCAACACACTTGGGGGCCGACTTGGTCTGTCCTCCTGATGTTTACCTGTCTCACTCTATCAGAGCATTTCCCCGCTCAGGGGTGTCATTTTTACTGGCTGTTCGGTACCCCTCCACATGGTGGCACCAGTGTGATCAGCCCAGCCCACCACCATGCCCAGGTCCCCACCATGTCTCATAGGAGGACACCCTCATACACAACCTCTGTCTTTATTTCTGGATAGATCCAACCCCCGGGACCAATCCCTAGAAGGGGTCAGAGGGAATCGGCCTTTTGAACACCCTCAGTCGAAATGCAAGACTGCTTTCTGGAACATCCGTACCCACTCCGGGGCCAAGGATGCCCCTCTGGAGATTCTCCTTGAATGAATGAATGAATGAATGAGCACAGGAGTGAATGAGTGTTCCACTGCGGAAGGTTCCTGTTCACACTGTCCCTCCTGCTCGAGGGCTGGCCCACCCAGCGGGGTGGTGGGCGGCCCATCCCCACAGCATGCCCTTGCTCCACTCGTCCAGATCTACCTGCACCTGCGCTCCTACACCGTCCCCAACGAGCAGCGCTACATCATCCGCCTGCTCTTCATTGTGCCCGTCTATGCCTTCGACTCCTGGCTCAGCCTCCTCCTCCTGGGGGCCCACCAGCACTACATCTACTTCGACTCTGTGCGGGACTGCTACGAGGGTGAGCGCCCCAGCCCCAGGCTCCAGGAGGTCCCTAGAGGGTGAGAGGGTCCGGAGGTCCTGAGGCTGGGCAGTGCAGGGGAGCCGAGTAAGGGGACTCCCGGGGGCACTCCCACTGCCTGTCCCAGGCACCCATACACCAGGCCTGAGTCCAGCTTAGCGAGGCCCTGTAGGGAGGGCCGCCTGATATCCAGGATTATCGATGTTGAGGGTGAGCCAGGCCCGCAAGTTGAGGGAGGGGAGCACTGCAGCTGGGAAACAGGGGTCCCTGGACGAGGTGGGGGGCATCAGAGCTGCAGTGACTGCTGCAGGCCTCACCACCACCAGGGACACTGAGGATGCATGTGGTCCCAGAGCTGGGGCTGGGAGTTCCTGAGAGGGGAGGGTCCTGCTGTGTGACTCCAGGAAATGGGCACCATGTGTTCCGTGTGGGTCAAACGGGGGGTGTCGGGGAGCCTTTGTGCAGGCCGGGGGTGCCCTCGGACTGCCCAGGCTCACAGCTGCCCCCCACCCCGGCTTGCAGCCTTTGTCATTTACAGCTTCCTGAGCCTCTGTTTCCAGTACTTGGGGGGCGAGAGTGCCATCATGGCTGAGATCCGGGGAAAGCCCATCCGGTAAGCTCTCACCCCGGAGCCCAGCGGGGCCTCCCCGCCCAGGGCAGCTACCGGTCTGGGCACGCTCCTCCCGAGCCCCCCTCAGGGACTGCCGCCCCCCAGGTCCAGCTGCTTCTACGGCACCTGCTGCCTGCGCGGCAGGTCCTACTCCATCGGGTTCCTGCGCTTCTGCAAGCAGGTGAGTGGGGGGCTCGCCCAACCCTGCCTGGCTCTTCCAGCCACCCACCGACCAGCCCTCACTGCCCAGTGTGCTGGGAGGCCAGCTCCGGCCAGCTGCCCCATTCACCCATTCCTGGGCCCCTGGAGGTGGAGACCCCCCTCACCCTCCTCCCGCCTCCCAGGCCACGCTGCAGTTCTGCGTCGTGAAGCCTGTCATGGCCTTGGTCACCATCATCCTGCAGGCGTTTGGCAAATACCATGATGGGGACTTCAAGTAAGGCGAGGGGGATGCCGTTGGGGCGGGGGAGGCAGACAGGGGGCTGGGAGGTGGGGCTCAGCGCAGCCCAAGTCATCCTGGCATGGGGACATGCCTCCCCTCCTCCCTGGAAACCGCCAGGGCCAGGCCGTGGTAAGTGGACCCAGAGGAGCAGCCCTCATCCGTGTGTGCCCTGAGGATTCCCAGCCCCCCTCAGCGGCTCCCCCCGAGGAGAACAAGGGGTGGATTTAAGGATGTTCACGGAGGGAGCCCAGCTCCGCCCAGGCACATGCCATTGAGGCAGAGGGGAGGTGGCACGATCCAGAAGGAGCTAGGGCCACATGCGCACACCACACGCACGTGCACACATGCTCACCTGTGTGTGGACACGCATGTGCACACATGCTCACACACACACGGACACTCCCACACACTCACATGCTCATGCACATACAACACTCACATGTGCACACACACGGTCACACGCACATACACACACACACTCATGCACAGGCGCACGCCACCTGTGTGTCCACAGCCTAGAGGCCGATTCCTGCAGGCTGTGCCCAGGCAGATTGGGGCAGGGGGAGCGGGCATGGGAGCCACATCCTTACCGCTGCGTTGGGACTCTCTGCAAGGCCCCTCTGCCGGCGTCCTCCCCAGCTCTTTGGCCACTCCCCTCAGGTGCCATCTGCCTGCCCTGGAGGGAGAGTCCAGGTCTGGGTCGCTGCTGGTGCCCAGGCTCCGGGTGGGGTGGGGGAGACAGGCCAATGGCACAGCTGATATGGGCGGGGAGGGCACTAGGGGGCACGGGGAGTGCCCTGACCCCTCGCACCTGCTCTTGCCCCAGTATCCGCAGCGGCTACCTCTATGTCACCCTCATCTACAATGTCTCCGTCAGCCTGGCCCTCTACGCCCTGTTCCTTTTCTACTTCGCCACCAGGGAGCTCCTGCAGCCCTTTGAGCCTGTCCTCAAGTTCTTCACCATCAAGGCTGTCATCTTCCTGTCTTTCTGGCAGGGTAGGTGGGGCTGTGAGGCAGGGGCTGGAGCCCAAAGAGCATGGTTTAAACCCCACCCCCAGTTTCTCGGGCACCCTCAGGCCCCGCCTCAGTTTCCCCAGCTGTAGCATGGGTCAGTAACGCAGCCCTCTCAGCTGGAAGCCATAAAGCTCCTGGGTGCAGGGGCGGGGGGTGGTTGGAAATGGTGAGTCCTCCACCCAGTAGGTCCGGCCCGTTGTGGGTGGAGTGGACACACAGATGGACCATGGAGCCCTGTCCCCACCAGGCCCTGGGCCTGGCTGTGGGCACTCCCAGCCCCCACTTTGCAGAGGAGGATGGTCACCAGACAGCGAAGGGTGTGCCCCAGGTCTGGGGGTGGAGAGGTCAGGGCGGGCGCTCAGGGAACTTCTGTACCAAGACCCCAGCTCTGGAGGTGCCCGACCGCTCTGAACCTCAGCCTCCCCCTCCACGGAACGGGACCACGTGGACAGGTTGTCCCAGAGCCAGCCGGAAGAGTCTCTGCAGGGGCCTGAACCTTGTCCTCCCCTGCAGACCCCCGTCAAGCCCACGAGGCCAGCCTCGGAGGGACTCTTGGCTGGGGTCAGCTCCAGTCCAGCCTCCTGTCCAGGCTGGGTGCCTGAGTGGCGGTCACCATCCCCCAGGGATGCTGCTGGCCATCCTGGAGAGGTGTGGGGTCATCCCTGAGGTCCAGGTCATCGATGGGAGCAAAGTGGGGGCCGGCACGCTGGCCGCTGGCTACCAGAACTTCATCATCTGCATCGAGATGCTCTTTGCCTCCATCGCCCTGCGCTATGCCTTCACCTGCCAGGTGTACGCAGAGAAGAAAGAGAACTCTCCAGGTATGCCGGGCCCTGCCAGCCGAGGGGTGAGGAGGGGCTGCACCAGGGGCATCGCAGCCATGGGCCTGTGCTGGGGCATGGCCAGCCCTGCCTCCTCTGGGCCTCCTCAGCACCATGTCTCTGTCCCCGTCCTGCACACGGGCCTGGGGAATGTCACCTCAATGGAGAGGGAGACATCCCCACTGGAGGCCCCGAGCCCCAGACAGGTGCCTCGTCTGCATCTAGTCCAGGGGAAGATACCAGGACCAGACATTTGGGCCCCAAGGACTCTCTGGTGATGGGGGTTTGGTGCCACCCGAGCCTGGGGTGTCCCGGCCACCACACCCAGGTGCCTGGACCAGCCTGACGGAGGGGCCTGGGGCTGGCATCGCTAGTGAACGGCCCGTTTGGGCAGGGACGGTCTGTGGCTGCTCCAGCCAGCCTGGCATGGCCATGGGTGTGAAGGGTTCACCCCAGGCCAGAGAGAAGGTGGAAACTAGCCAAGGCATTCCCCTCCTGTGGCCCCTGGCAGGGGGTCTGGGCTGGGACAGCCCAGGGTGGAGGAGCTGGGGCTAAGATTCGGGGGTCCTGGGAGTCACCCGCTGCTGGTAGAGGCCAGGACCTGAAGATGCAGAAGCCCAGCCCTGGGCAGCCCCGAGACCGGCGGGGAGCAGGGCCATGTCCCCGGGGCTGGGGGTACGAGGGGGAGATGACAGGTCCAGGGAGGCCCCTGCCCCTGCCCACGTGCTGCCTGCCCCCAGCCCCCACAGCCCCCATGCAGAGCATCTCCAGCGGCCTCAAGGAGACCATGAGCCCCCAGGACATCGTGCAGGATGCAATCCACAACTTCTCCCCTGCCTACCAGCACTATACGCAGCAGGCCACACATGAGGCCCCGGGGCACGGCCAGGGCGGGCACCCCTCGCCCGGCACCCACCCCGGCATGGCAGGTGGCTCTAGTGGAGGCAGGAAGAGCCGCAACGTGGAGAAGAGGATGCTGATCCCTGACGAGGAGCTGTAGGAGGGAGGGCCTCAGGGTCACCAGCTGCCTGGCTGGGGACAGGCAGCTCAGGCCTCTGGGAGAGGACAGGGCCCGTCACTCCCCAACCCTCTTACCAAAGGTCAAGCCTCTCTTGGGAGCCCTCCTGCCAGGCCCATGGAGCCCACCTCCCATCCTCCCTCTGGCCGGTGGGCCCCCTGACGACCTGCTGGGCTCCCCTGGCCATCAGCTCAGGTGGCCACCAGGGGGCAGGGAGCCAGCATGGCCTCCCTGGGTGGACAGATCCCAGGCTGGGCAGCTGCAGGCAACGACAGCCAGGACAGAGTTGGGCAGCCTGGACCCGAGAGGACTGGAGCTCCGGGCACCACCAGTGGGTGGGGTCCACATGGGCTGGTGGGGGTGGGTGACTCAGCTGGGCCTTGCTGTGGCCCATTGGGCCCGAAGGAGAAGGGCCACCACGGCTCCACACACCCCCAGCCATGGGGAGCCCTGGAAAGCCCCCCCCCCCCCGGGAGGGTGTGCCCAATGTGGGTGTGGAAGGTGCCCGGGCTGCCTGCACAGAACCTTTGCCCTGGCCACCAGCAGAGCCTGCGGGCTTCCTGGTGAATCGTGCTTATTTATACATAAACACTGTGTTTTCTAGTGACTCTAGTGGCTTCTGTTCTTGCAGGGTCAGTGCCCTGACGAATGGACCGAGTGAGGTGGTCAAAGGAGGCCCATTGGCTAAGTCTGGGAGTCACGGGGGGGCGGGTCGTCCCAGTCCACCCTGGGGCTGCCAGCCATGGTCACTGCTCAGAGCAGGGTGGGGCAAAGGGCTCACACTCGAGACGGAGTGCCCTGCCCTGTGCCGCCATGAGACCCGGGGCACTCACCTCCCCCTCGGAGCCTCAGTTTCCTCCATAAACTGGGCCTCCTGCTAGCTCCGCCCATGGCAGGTAGATGAGGCCACATAGGCAAAGGCCAGAGAGAGCAGGGCGTCATGGGGCTCATACCTGGAGCTTGCCATCCCCCCCACCTCGCCCTGCATCCTCTCCCTCCCTCCATCTGCTAGGCTGGTGCCCGGAGAGCTGGGACAGCTGAGCCTGGGACACAGGCCCTACCCCCCAGAAGCTGCAAAGGGCCCCAAACAGGTTTAGAAACACGGGAAGGAAACAGAAGCAGCTGGGGAGAGGGAGCCTCCTAGAGGACCTGGCTGGGGGAGGAGAGGCGGGCAGGGGCCTGGGCGTCCGAGAGCCCGCAGGCACGGGGAGCCAGGGCGGGCTGACCAGGCCAGCGCAGTACGCAAGAAGGCCCGGGGGCACCACCCAGCAACCACCCCCCGCCCATACCTCCTGGCTACCTGCTCCCACGTCACGAGAGAAAAAGGGAAAGGCGCCGAGGGTCTCAGAGGGACTCAGCAGAGCGAGAACTGGCCTACGGTGTCAAGGCCAGGTGTCACCCCCACCCCCTGGGCCTGGGGACACGGGATTCAAGGCCAGCCGGCTCTCCCAGGCCCAGCTGGGCTGCCTGATAAGATATGCCAAGTCTCCCTCCCGCTGCTGCCTGCTGCCCGGCCTGAACGTCCCCTACCTGCCTTATCATGCCTCCTGCAGCTGGCTGACCCCCAGGCGGCCCAGCTCAGGCCCCACAGGGCTCCCACGGCCGGGCCCCCACACAACTCAGTCAGCAGGTTTGGGACAGGGCACGGCGCTCCCCAGAGAGCAGGCGACCCAGGAGGGAGGTTTTCTGGAGGCTGCAGGACAGAGGCAAGACGCCCAGCTCCACGGTGAGCGCGGGGAGGTGGTGCTGCCCGCAGGCCCTCTTCCAGAGAGGGCCACCCCTTGGGGGCCTGAGTTGCCCAAAGCTGTGTGCACAGAGGGAAAGTGGGCCAGGACTCCCTCCCGGAGACTCGGACACGGCTGGGCTCCTGGCTGCAGGGGGCCCTGGGGCCAGGCCTGTACACTGGGGACAGCCTTGTTGGGCCTGGTGCTTTGGGAGGGGGAGGAAGTCGGCCTTGACCGAGCACCTGCTGCGTACCAAGGACTGGACCGGGAATCTCACACACACTTAATCCTCACGACAGCCCCCGGGAAGGTGGCTGAGGCCCAGAGAGGTTGAGCCGCTTGCCCGAGGTCACAGAGCCGGGAAGAGGTGGAGCTCTCCACCCGCCCCCGCCCCAGACATCTCGACCTGTGGACAGAGCTTTTCCTTCTAACGTGATGAAGTAAATCATGAGGACAAAACACGGTGCCCGTGGGCCTGCTGCCTGCGGGTGGAGCAGAGCCACAGGGCAAGTCAACAGCGCTGCCCCGGCCTCGCCCCACCAAGGGGAAGTGTGGGCGCTCACGAGGAGGAGGGGAAGGAGGGACATCTCACCATCTCTGATGAAAAAGCGGGTTCCCCAGCCCCGGGCTCCACTGTGTGCGGCCAGGAGTGGCCGAGGCAAGCAGGTCCCAGTGCTCCGGCCAGGTTATCCAACATGGCCTTAGTGTCCTCATCTGTGACATGACCCCAGCAATCCAGACCAGAGGGTGGCAGCCCAGAGAGCAGGTGGGCAGCCTGGGGGGCAGGGTGTCCTTTAACAACTTTCCTGGAGCCCAGCGCTGGGCCAGGGTCCGTGCCTCCCCCACTCACATCCACAGGCTGGCTGCCAATTCTGGTCACGGCACTGCAGCCCCAGGGCTCCCCAAGGAGGAGCAGGGGGTCACCGGGGGTCCCCCCAGAGTTGGCTGCAGGGTCTGGCTCAGCTGGGGGAAAACATCTACAGTTGCCATTGACCAGCTCGGGGCTAGTGACCCCACTGTGCTGAGCACATTCATCCACACCCCGATTTCACAGAAGGGAACATGAGGCTTGGAGCGGGCAAGGAACTGGGCCAGGTCTCTCAGAGTTAGGGCACCGAAGCCCATCTCCCCGGTTACGATGAGACGCTGTCCTGGTCAGCTCAGGCACAGGACAGGCAGGAGGGACGGCAGGTTTCAGAAGCCCTGAGAAGATCTCACTGGAAGCTTGGCCCTCCTTCAGAGGCTGAGGCCACGTGCTGACCCCTCTGCCCTGGGGGACTGGTGGGGCAGGGGTTGCCCACCACGGAAGGCCCGGCGAGGAGGGGTCAGCATCCGAGAGGACAGGGCCTGCCCTTGGCTCTGGCTTTTCTGCCCCAGGCAGATCCCTCTCTTTCTTAGCCTCCTGCAAGCTCATTTCAGGGCCCCAGGCCGACAAAACAAGGTAAGAGTCCTGGCCCAGTGACCCGGGGCACACCGCCCAGGGGAAGGGGCCACTCCCAGCTGGAAAGGAGCAGCCATGTCCCCGGACTGGGGGCTCCTGGTCAGGACAGATGGGATCCTGGGAACTCTGCCCACCGTCCAGAAAGTGAGCCTGGCTGCCTCCATCTACCCGACCCCGTCCCCACCCTGGGGCTGTCCTGACAGGACTCTGAAGCCTGGGAGACCCACCCACAAGTGGCGCTCGAGGCTGACCCCACTCTCAGTTGCAGGGGAGGCAGGATTTGGGGGCCTCTAGCAGCCCAGCACACCCAGCAAACAGGATGACCCCTGGCCTGGGGGCACGGCCCAAAGCACCAACTACGCAGCGAGACAGATCTGAAACCAGAAAACTCTTTATTGCAAAGGTACAAAAGCATCACAGCAGAGATGTACAGCAATAAATTAGGTGGTGGCCGTGAGGGGACAGGGAAGGCGCAGGCCACGACACAGGGTCTCTTCTCAATAATTTATATCATGATAAAAGCAGCATAAAAATAAATATTGAAATGAAACTGCTGAGCAGGCAAAGGCGAGGAAAATCGGTGCGAAATGACGAGGTGGCGGCCCGGTCCCCCGGGAGGCCAAGCCCTGCCGGCGTCGGGGACGCGCGAGTCTGAAGCACAGGGGACAGGAAAACAAACCCACACGACAAAGACGTCCTTGCCTTTTGTCTTAAATAAAAAACTCATATATTAAAATTGTGACAATGAAACCTCAATGATCCAAAAGGAAAAGCAGGAAGGAGCAAGCCAGTCTTCCTTCCCCGGTCCCTGGTCCCAGGAGGGGGAGGTGCGGCCTCGGTGACAGCTCCTCCAGCCTGGAGCCTGACGGCCCCGGCCAGCGCTTGCCCACTCGCTCACCTGCACCCCATGGGATGGGGCGCTCTGCGAACCTGGGGCCGCCGCAGAACAGGACACTTGGCCGGGGTGGGTGGGGGCATGCCCCAGGTGCCCAGCTCGTCCACGGGACCCTGCTTGGAAGGGCACGAGGGAAGACCAAGGGGAGCGGGGGCTGCGAGCTGGCTGCCTGAGAAGCCAGGCAGGGCGACGGGCTCCCACTCCACCCACCCTCAATGCTGCTCTGCTCTCAGAGACTGACAGTATCAAACAGGAAGAGTTACGAAAGGTCTGTACGATAAAATGTGTATATAATTTTATATATATATATATATATACTTTTCTCTCTCTTTTAAATATTTCCCCATGGTCCTTATTGACATCCAATGTGGATTACCTACCATGGCTATGGGATCAACAGCTTTTTGTTACACACTGGGGCTTTTTGTTACACACTGGGCTGTGTAAGGATCCAGTGCCCCAGACCCTGTGCCTCCTCGTAGGACAGGGACAAGGCCGTGTGGCAATGCTGCTGGAGAGCCCCAGACGCTTTCTGTCCACTCCTTGCAGCAGACAGAAGCTGGACACAGCCCCTGGGGCCGTCTGTCCTCCCCTGATCCTGGCACGGCCGACACCTGCTTGCTGGGGGTCTCCCTGGGTGGTGGGGGGCAGGCCAAGAGGAAACCAGGAGCTGGAGCCCAGTGGCTTCCGGCCTGCGACAGGACTCGGGGCTCAGGGCCGTGGCCCCCGCATCTTCCAGGAGGGGCAGTCCATGCCCGGCCCACATGGGGAGCCCCTGTGGTAGCTCTCAGGGAACGGAAGCACAGGAAAGGTCACTGAGGTCATCAGTGGCTCCAAGCCCCAGAAAGAGCAGGTGAAGGTTCCAGGCAACAATTAAGCACCAACGTCGCAGAGCCCCCTCGTCTTCTCTGTGCCGACACACCATCCAGGTGCTTCCAGGGGGCTGGTCCACGTGGACTTCCTGGCCCAGTGCCTGCCACCTTCCCCCCACCCCCGCTGCCCACCACCATCACGCCCCCCTCGTCTTCTGACCCACCTGTCTCCCTGCTCTCCCAACTCCTCCAGCAGTGGGAACCACCAGCAGCCAGGCCCCACCCAGCTCCACGGCCGCTCCTGAGGCCTTCCCAACTCCCCCTGTTCCACGAAGAACCTGCTCCCCTTCCACCTCCCAGCCCCCAGGGCCCATCGCCCCCTTCCCACGCTGGGGCGCCACCTTCCCTGGCTCTGTGGGGCAGCAGCAGGGTGGGCTGGCTCCCCCAGCCCGGCGGTTCCTCACTGGGGACCTCCCTCCGGTCACCCCAACACAGAGCGAAAACTCACAACACTCGTGTGACTCTCTGCCACCTGTACCCACAGGCCCCCCGTGACCACCCGCAACGAGCTGCTCCTCCAAGGCCCCCGGTGCTGCAGGTGCTCTGGTGTGACAGCAGGCAGGCCCCTTTGCACATGTGCACCCATGCACCCACTCAAGCGGCCCACCCTCCATCCGCCTCATAGGGTACAGGTCTCGGGCTAAGGCTAAAGCAGGGTCACGGTGCATGTCGACCCCAGGACTCAGTCAGGGCAGTGAGAGGGTTCCTGCGCCAGCTGGGGGGCCACGGCAGGGGGACAGATGTGTTGACAGGCTGCTGGCGGGAGGAATGGAAGACGGAGCCCCTGCCATCTGAGCCACAGGGCCAGGAACTTTCTGAGGACCTTCCTTGCCTACATCCCAACTCCCCCAAAAGACACAGGCCCCTGAAAACAGACAGTCTGGAGAGAGCTGGCAGGGCCCAGAGGAAGGCCGGGTGCATGTGTGTGCATGTGTGTGCGTGCGTGTGTGGGCAGGCGTGTGGTACACGGGTTCACAAGCCCCTAACTCTTCATCAGGCCCCCATGACCTCGCCCCACTGGGAGCCCCGTGGAGTCTGCACTTTGACTCAGGGGATCAGGGGTGTGTTCCCCCTGGGACCCTGTGACGAGCACAAGGGACATCCCTCCCCTCCCCCCCACCGGCCCCCTCGCCCAACCCTCGGCCGGGCACTAGGAGGCAGCCGAGAAGGGTACGGAGTTGGAGATCTCAGCAGACTTGACGATGGTGATGACACTGGTGGTGGCGACCTTGGTGGGTGCAATGGGCCCGCGGGCCACGGTGCGGGCGAAGGTCTGCAGAGCCTCGTACTTGGAACGCAGGGCGTCCAGCTCCAGCTTCATGCTGCTGTTCTCACGCGCCAGCTTCTCCACCTCCTGCTGCAGCTCCACGCGCTGCCGCTCCAGCTCCTCCTTCTGCGTCACCCGCTTGATGCGGCAGCTGGCGGCGTAGCCGCGGTTCTTGAGCGTGCGCCGGCGCTGCTTCAGACGGACCACCTCCTCCTTGGTGAGGCCCCGCAGGTGCTGGTTCAGCTCCCGCACCGACATGGATACCAGCTCATCGTCGCTGAGCACCGGGGCGTTCTCGCCCGCCTCCTTCTTGACCTGTGGGGCCACAGCACGGGGTTAGTACCAGGAGTGCAAGGGGGGTGGCGGGCGGGGAGGACTGGCTGCAGGGACCCCAGGAGACCACTCGGAACACTGCCGTGGACAAGCCTGGCTCCTGGCAGTGCCCCCTCTGCATCCCAGGCTGGCCTTCACTCCTCCACCAGGGAATGGGGACGGTCACTGTGGGGTCAATGGACATTGTGCACATGATGTAATGCAGGAAGTTCCCTGATGGGGGCCATTGGCTCCACCCACCATCACCCAGCTACTATTAGCAGCCCAAACTCTGCGAGGCCACAGCCTGCCTGTGTGCTGCCCTCTGCGGATCTCTAGCGCCTGGTGCAGGACTGAGGCAGGCAGGGGAGTGACGGGGAGGCACAGCAGCCTATCCTTCTGCACCCCTTGGACCTGGTGGGGCCCAGCCAGGGCCTGGCAGGGCCGGGCTACACTGACCTGCAGGACCTCAGGGGAGGCTTAGAGACGCACAGCCCATAAACGCACCGAGTCCCCTCTCTGGCCATACCCAGCTCTGGGAGACAGGAGACGGCCCGAGGGCACACACTGGCCTCAGAAGCCCAAGGCACCCTGGGAGGCGGACAGTCAGAGCCAGGCCCGGGAGCTGGAGCACCACCGTTCACATGCGCCCAGCCCGTGGCTCTGCAGGACCAGAAGCCACACTCCCCATGCCTGGGTGCCAAGGTGCTAAGCACATACCGGCCAGCGGGCATCCATCCCTCCCACCCCTCCACCCTGGAGTCATCTCCCTGGACGTCAGAGCCAGCGTCTCCTGAGGCCACAACCCCCAATTCTGTCACCACTTCTCTGGGACACTTCCTTCAGCTAACAGCTCCCACTCGCTTCCAGGTGACAGGGCTTCCTCCTTCACGCTCAGGGTGGTTCTGGGACAGAGAGGCTGCAGGGGCAGAGATGAGGTTGGCCCCCTTACCTTTAACGCCTTGTTTGGTTTGGGGTTAGTCGTCATAACCTGGAACAGCACCCAGACAGAACTGCTTGGAAATCGTCACTGGAAGATCACAGAACACAGAAATATACGTGGTTAGGTCCCAGCCACATTGGGGACGGGCTGTGCTATTGTGACAAGTGACCCAAAGCAGGGATGTCCCACTGCAGAGATGCTCCAAGGAGGCTCAGCTCGCCTCTCTGTGCCATCCAGTCAGCATCCCAAAAGCAAGGAGGGGCTCAGCCCATCAAGAGGGGATGCCCATGGGGGCACCCTGGCCAGGACCGGGCCTCTGCTTGGCCGTACCCCCCACTTCAGCATCAGCCCACGGAGCGGCCCGGACCCACCTTGTCCCAGTGCCCGGCAGCCACACGGCTGTCCCACGCTGCCCGCCGGGCCTGTGCTGCGAGCGCCAGCGCCTTGGGGTGACGCCGGGTGTGAGCAGCTGTTGCTTCCTGTTCTGACTCTCCCTCTGAGCTCAGACGTCTGCACCTGTGAGGCACAGGAGGCCACATTTAAGGCCAAAGCGCGCAGCGGCCAAGCCCCCACCCAAGAACAGCTGTGCCCAGCACCTGAGGAGTGCGCCGGCCCCGGGACAGCACCCTGCCCTGGCAAGGGCCCGTTACCCGAGCCAGCCTGCATCCCGAGAAGAAGGGCCCCTTTGGGGAGCCCCTGCCCTTGCCGAGCTCACTCCAACGAGGGACGGGTAGAGTCCCGCGCCCGCCCTGGCCCGGCCCCGCCCTCCCGGCAAACCCACCTCCGCAAAGGGCACTGCAGCTGTGACATCACCGCCGCCACCTAGGCTGCCCCACAGCCATGCCCTGAGGCCCAGAGGGTGGGCAGGGGCTCCCTACGCCAGCCAGCCCGGACCACAGAGGTGGGAGCCGCCACAGAGGTGGGAGCCGCCGCCTCACGAGCTCATCGACTGTCTGGCGGGAGTTGTCCCCACAGCCCGCCAGCCCCCCAAGGCCCGCCCTTCTCATTTTCGCGTCTGCATTGTGTCACACATTCTAATCATTCATGAAAAAGCCAGCCAAAGCATCCCAAGCATGATTCCCCTCTGATAGTTGCCATGGCGACCCTGGGAAGTAGCCAACCCCTGATGGTCGTCATGGAAACAGAGAAGCCCACAGCAACAATGGCTTCAGGCTGGCGGTGCAGACATCACAGGTTGTGGGACAGTAAAACCCTTCATGCCCAGTGGCCCGAGCGGCAGGAGGGGAACCGGCACCAGACTTGCCAGTACACTGTCACCAGCTTCTGGGATTGGGGGCCGCTCCCCACGTTCCAAATGCCACATGAGGTGAACTGAGCAGAGAGAACGTCAGAGAAACTGGGCCCAGAGACAGCTGCACCAAAGCCTTCATCTGGGGAGTGAGTGAGACTCAGGTGGGTGGTCTCCACCCCGCCCGAAGCCCGGGGGGACCCTCACCTTAGCACCGCCTGGACCTCCCCCCGCTGGCCCTGCCCCTCACTACCAGAGGCTGCCAACACGACAGAGGTCTCAGCACCTAGGCCTGCAGACCCCCGACTGCCCCTCACATCGTGGCTGCTCTCTCAGGCACTAACGATGGATGATGGAGAGCAAGATGGCAGTGGGGCCAAGCTGGTGTGGCCTCCAGGGGCCCTGGGCTCCTCTGCACCCCTCACAAGGTTACACACGAGTGCCCGAGACAGACACGCAGCAATGAGGGGCGATCTCAGTGTAAGAGCTGCTTCCTGACAGTGGCTTGACCCCCTGGCATCTGGCGGGGGACCCAACGAGCACCCCACAGGGCCGCCCCTCCCTCCAGGTGCTGGGGTCAAAGTCAGGCTGGAGAAGCCACCAGGAGGGCCGGCAGGAGCCAGGCGGCTGGGAGAACCATGAGAAACTTTTCCACGTCGGGTGAGGCGGGGCGGCGGGACAGTTCCAGCTCGCACTCCCAAGCACGTCAGCGCACAGGGCCTGGAGCCGCCAGGGCATAGCTGTGCGGTGAGTCACCAGCTGTTTACAGAGCTGGGAGCTCACATTCCCACAGCCCCAGGCCCCTCCCACCCTGCAAGGACCCGCTGCGCCCGCCTGCCTGCCCGTCCAGTCCCGATGGGAAAGGGAAGGCCCCAGCGAAGGAGGGGCCTGCTCAGACCCCCAACCAGACCCGACAGGGGCTGCTGTGCCTCCCGCATAGTGACGTGCCAGCTCAACTGGGTCCTGGGCTGTGTTCAGAGCAGGGACACCTCCTCTGGGGACCTGCCTGCCATGAATCGCATGGTAGCACACTAAGATAACCAGGATGCACACAGGCCTGGGCCTCAGCACTCTGTAGGCTTGGCCCCCTCCCCTGCACATGAGGGTCTATCGCCCACATCAGCAAGGTCAAGGTTGCCCAGGGAACAGCCCCATGTCCACGGGCTCTGAGCCCATCTTGCTGGCCCCCCTAGACTTCTGGGGGCCCAGGACCATGGGCAAGGAGCCTCAGCAGAGATGGGAGAAGAGCAGCCCTGGGGTCCCACCTGGGGTCTGAGCAAGAAAGATATCTCTCTCTATGAGAGGTCACCATGGTGGGGCCTGACCTCAAGGAATCGTCTCTAGTTCTCAGACCTTCTGTCCAACGAGAGTGATGTGAGGACTAGAGGAGCGAATGCACGCAGATGCAGAGGTGATGGCTGCCATCGTCTTGAGGCAAAGTTGGGGAGCAATTACCCACAGTAATTGCTGTGGGTCTTAAGCTTCTCTTCTGAAAAATGAGGGGATCGGAACCAAGGGTGCCCACGGTCCTGTCCAGCTCCCAAAGGTTCTCAGCTGGACCGAGTGGGTGATGCCAGGACAGAGTCCCTGACTTGGGGCTCCACTCTCAATGCCCAGGCTTTGGGGTCTTCACCAGGGGCCCCCTGAGGAACCAGAGACCGGGGGAGGCAGGGAAAGCCCAGGCAGGACACCATCACGCAGCTCTGTGCTTATAACCACGACCCCCACCGCCTTGGGCAGACCAGATCTGGCTTCTGCCCCTTCAGGGACCCGCTCTGCTGGGAAGTCTCCACCAACTGCTGGAAGAGGCACTGGCTGCCCGCCTCGCAAGAGACTCATCGGAGAGCCATCAGTGATGGGGTCCAGGTGGGCCTGGCACCGGGGGCAGAGAGCCCTTCTTTGTGAACTCAGGTCGGGGACTGGAACAGCACTGTCACTTATCTCTACCCACAAAACACGTAGTATTGACCTAAAGTCACTTCAAACATTAGAAAAATGAACTTGCTTTCGGAATGAGGTTCAGAGGACAGTTTTGGATGTGTGAAAAAACAGTGGGTAAACCAAGTGATTTTAAAACAACTGTCCTAAAATGGGTATTTGTAAACCGTGGAACCTCAGGCAACCTCAACGGCCACCAGAGCGCACACAGGAAGAACTGTTTTCTGAGACGGGCCGGAACCCAGCTGGGGTTAGACTGCAGCCTGGAGCGGTCAGGCCAGGCGGGCACCCGTCGGCTGCAGGAAGGCCCCGGAGAAGCCAGCTTCCCCTGCTATCAAGGGTCTAATGCCAGCATTATTGCATCAGCAACCGTCACCACCAAAAACGCCTCTTCAATAGCTTCACACGAGGATGCTCCTGGCGAGCTGTCCCACGTCCTCAGGCTGACAAGACTTAGCAACACCAGGCACAGCGAGCCCGCGCTCCCCGGGGCTTTCTGAATTCTACTGAAGTCACCTGAGAAGTTCGGTGGCCCGTGCCAGCCCAGCATCCGGAACGGCGGGTCTGCACGTCCGCTGCGTGTGCCCGCTCCCCCATCTGAGAGTAACCATGCTTGTCTTCCTCAGCCCGGAGGAGCTGCTGGTCAAGCGTGCACACTCAGCACTTAGAACATGGAACACCTTTTAGGCGACTGGTTTTCTAACTGAAGAGGTTGGTTTTCAACCCAGAAACTTCATTCTGATGTACATCTAAACAAGGTTAACAGGAAAGATCATTTCCTCTGAAAGAAAAGGAAACACCCGAGCAGCCTAGATGGAGTCAGCTCCGGTGACTGCATAGTTTGGAATAAATTAGGGAGCTAGGGCCACCCCTCCCCTTCCGGGCCCCATAAAGAACAGGGCAGGGCGACTCCGCCCAGGGGAGCTGGCATTGCATCCCTGAGCATCCTGGAGGGCAGGGCAGGTAGCCCAGCTTCTACAGTCTGGGACTGCCCTTCCAGAAGGCAGGTGCGCCCGAGGCCAGGATCTCGGATCCCTTCTGGGTCACTTTTTACTTTCCACCTCCCAGCAAACATCTACTGCTTGGCCACTGCTTGGCCTTAGCTGGTCTGGGAGACTCGCAGCCCTAGTTGTCCCCCTGCATGCTCCTGCCCTCGCTGGGCTGGGCCCAGGATCAGGGCCTGGGGGAGGGGGGTTTCTCCATCAATAAAGCCAGGTGGCTGATGGGAGCAATGGCCCCACCCCAGGGGCCCTAGGTTGAGATTATCCCAGAGAAAAGGAGGTTTGTGAGTTTCAAAGGGCTCCAATTCTGACTTAAACAACTATCCCGACTAGCCCGCTTGTCTTGACTGTGAGCTGCATGCGGGCAGGAAGCTGAATCTCTGGCACCTGTTCCCGTTGGGTGTGGGTGAAGGCGGCTGCCACTCTTGGGCCTGCCCCACTCAGCCTTCCAGCAACTGATAAGGATGGGGCACCCCTTCCATTCCCGTTCTCCCAGGTCCCCAAGGATGCCAGAGTTGGGAACAGGGAGGGGTAGGAGGGATTCTGTCCTAGAGGAGCAGGTTCCCACTCCAGGCCGAAGAGCAGCAACCGCCTCACCCTGACAGATGCAAACCCCAAAGCCAGAAGCACCTTGATGGGGCTGCCTCTTCTCTGGGGGGCTGGGAGCCTTTCACAGGTGACCCAAAGCTGAGCGCCCCTCCGGCTGCCCACCACATAGTGGGGCAGACACAGCAGGCACCTGACAAGCACGTGCTGAGTCGTCGTCCCACAATGAGCTGTTGCCTCGCCAACTGAAGACAGACCCCGGAACCAGGAGAGCTCTCCACCACCCTGCCTGCCTCCGGACAAAGGGCTTCGGCTGATGTCCCCACCCCAGCTCCCCTCAACGTGGGGTGTGGCCCACAGTGCCTCACTGGGCACCCCACTGGCCCGGCCCACACCCAGCCTGCAGGCTGGCCCTGGCTGGCCACCCTCAGGCAAGACATGACTGTCTGCCCGACTTGGAGGACGCCTGGTCACCTTGTGTTTGCGGTTCGAGGAAGCTGTGTCATCCTGGCTACATCCAGAGGTGACTCAGGCAGCTGCTGGGCTGACAGCAGGCTGAACGCCACGCCCCCCCACCGTGTGCTGCCAGCCCCTGGCTCCCACCCCCCCAGCTACAGGCCAGGCCCCTGCTCCCTGTGTACCCCTCTGGGTGGTCCTTCTGCCTCCAGGCTCCCCTTCAGGGTTCTGTTGTCTCCCTAGCGGCTCATGCTGCCCAGGGCTCCAACCAGCCTCACCTCCACGTGCAGCCAGGACGCTCCCCGGAAAACCCGACAACCTGCCCATCCAACAGGCCCCAGAGACACAGGCCTCTGGCCACACCTGCCCACCTGTGTCTCTAGCTAGGTGATGACCCCCCACCGCATTCACACAAGCCTCACCTCTCCCTCCACGTCCACTTGCTGAGCCCAGCCTGCTGATCTCGGCCCGAGTCTCCCTGCAGATGCTCAGGCCCCCGGCTTCTCATCAGGACTCCCATCTCAGTCCCTCACATGCAGCCCCCCAGGCAGGCAGAGGGACCCACCGGCTCAGAGTCCCTCCCAATCTCCCCATTCCCTTGGTCGCCTGTCGCCACTCCAGGCCTCTACCTCTGGCTTCTTACAGCCACCCCCCAATCTGTGCTGGGCTCCCACTCTTCTGTCATCCCCTGCCCAACCCTCGCTTCATCAGAAAGCCCCCCTCCTGCCCTCCCTGTGGCGGGCGGGCACCCTCTCCTGAGCACATATCAAGGGCTGAGCCCAAGACCTGGTCCTGGTCTTTCTGTCTGAGGCCTGCCTCCCTCACTGGATGGAGAGAAGGGGATGCTCTCACCTACACCCGCTCCCCTCAATTCCTGGCAGGTGAAAGGGGCCGCATAAGCAGATGTGTCAGCACTGCACTAAAGGGAGGGGGGCCGGGGGATGGCTTCTACCCCAACACCTTCTGCCTCCGCCTTGCCCAGGACACCCAGACAGCAGGCAGGGCACGGCACTGGCCCCTGGACACGGGGCTCTGCCGCGGCAGGCCAGGCAAGGAACCCTTGGGGCTTGGTTTCCTCATTTAAAATGGGGTCTGTGTGTGTGTGGACCATGTGGCAACTCAGGTTCACCTCTACCTGCTCTAAAATTCTACGATTTTAAGATGACACTTTCAATTTCCTGAAACTGTAAGAAAGAGGAAACATGACAAGCCTGTGACTTATAAAAAGCAAAAGTAAATAGCGGAGCAATGCATCTCCCATTGCAGAGACCGGCGGGTGGTGGGGGGGGTGCCGAGAGGAGGGTGAGTCACTGTTTACTGCTCTGAGGAGCAGCTACACAGAGAACGCTCCCAGCCATTTCCCGTGTGGACTGGACCCTGAATCCAGCAAGTCCACGCCAGAAACCTTTAGACTCAGGGAGTACTTCTTCTAGGTCGCCTGTGATTATAAACAAACTCGCCGGAGTGGAAGCAAGCACGGTGGACAAAGAACAGTCCGGAACACGACCTCGCTCAGCGGCAGCCTGGGTGCCAGAGAAAGGAGTGGAACGCAGCAAGCCCCACACTCAGGAAGAGCGACTCCCCCAGTAGCCTCAACTCAACTCCCATTTTTAGCAACCACCTTGAAAGTAAGCGACGCTGAACTTGGAACCAGTCCCTTAAAGTCCAGCTCGGTTCAAGCACAAAAAGCAAATGCGCTCCAGGGAGAAGCCTTGCTTTGTGTTTTTGAGTTAATAAACATTTTATTTTGGAATAAGGAGAGGTCCAGTTTTAAGTTTTGAAAGCAGACCCCCCCCCCGCCCCCCAGACCTCAAACTTCAACATTCCTCCTGGGTCACGGAGGGAGGGAAGTGCTCAGGAAGCCTGTCAGCTACCCACAATGCAACAGGTTGCAGGTGCGCCCCACCCACCTGCACAGCCCACCAACTTCCCAGACCCCTCCCACCTGCTTAGACTAACATTTTTTTAAAAAGCACCATCCCCCCCTACAGACATGGGCTTGGAGACTGGGCTCCAGAGGTGGCACACAGGACACACAGCTACACTTTCTCAAGATACCTGCTCGGTGATCGCTGTGACAGCAAAACCTCACCAACACCAATAAAGGGGTCAAGGGAGGGCAGGTGGGCACCCAAGGCACACTTGTGGGCACCCAGTGATTCTGTGTTGGGCATGGGTGTACATCTCGGGAGCTTCCCGAGGTCAGACACCTGGCAAGAGGAGGTGGCTGAGTGTTGGTCAACTGCTGAAGGAATTGTTGGGTGGGACATCCCACTTCTGCCTGAGCTACAAGAGCTGTGTGAAAAGTCAACAAGAGCGTAATCATTAACACAAGACAGAGAGCGCTGGACTTCAGCAAACTCCAACACGGACTGCTCCAGCATGTGTTCTGCGTTGGTGAGAAGACCCCACAACTACTGTGGGAGACAGACGGCAAAGCGGTCTGCTTTTCCTAGGACAAACCTGGGTCCAGATCCAAATACTCCCCTCCCCTCCGAGGCTCCGGGGAAGGTGCGTGGAAGAGGGAGCCGGAGACATTATCTGTTTCCTGAACTCAGCAGAATCACAGAAGAACCCGCATTTAAAATTAGAAGACATGGAGACCCCCCATTCATAGATGAGAAAAACGAGACGCGGGCCACGGGGGAAGCGACACGTTTGCCCTGCCCCTCATCCCACCCAAAGCCTCCACATCAGGGCTCCCTCCGGGAACCCCCGGGCAGATCAGCTGCTCAGAATGTGACCTCGGGCAGGGAGTCCCCTGCTGCTTCCCCTGCCCACCTCCGAGCGGTGTGGCCCATGTCGCGCGCAGTCACGGGTGGAAAGTGGCCGCAGGGCCGGGCAGGACCGCACGCCGGGTCAGCGGAAGCGTCCAGGTAACCGAGGCCGAGTTGGCCTAGCGCGACCACGCGCTCCCCGCGCTCCCCTGCACGTGGCATTTATTTTCGCCCCCGCCTTCCCGCTTCGAGCGGATCCCCGGGGTAAAGGCTGAGCAGGTCGGGGGGGGGGGGCGGGCGCCGGGCTCCCCACCTGCCCTGCCCTGGAGAGTCCACCGCCTCCAGGCTCGGGCCCTGAGCGGGGGTCGGGAGTCAGGGGCGCTCCCGTTCCCAGAAGAAGGCGACCCGTCTAAGGGCGGGACAAGACCCCCAGCCCGCAGCCGCTCGAGGCGGACACCTGACGGCAGGTGTCCCGCAGTCTCGGGGTCCAACCCAACTCCGCGCGGGTCCGAGGAGCCATGACTCAGCGGCCGGCGGGCCGCGCACCCCAGGCCCCCACCGCGCCCCCGGCCCCACCCCGCCGGCCGCTTCTCACCTGACGTCGCACGGGGGCGCGGGCGCGCGGCGGCTCCTCGCGGGCACGCGCTCTCCTCGCGCTCACTCGCGCTCCCCCTGGGCCGCCGCCTCCGCCGCGCGCTCGGGTTCGGACTTCGCGAAGAACAACAAGTCCCCCAGCCGTCCGCCGCCAGCCCGCCCGCCGGCTCCCAGCATCTGACACCGCTTCCGGGATCGGCGTCGGCGCACGTCACGCCGCCCCGCCCACCGCGTGCCGCCACCGCCCCGCCCACGCGGGGCCCCACCACCCCCGTGAGCTTTCGCCCCGCCCACCATAGGCCCCGCCCACCACTCACCGCCCCGCCCTCACAGGCCCGGCCCCCGCCGGCGCAGGCGCACCGAGCCTCCCCCGTCTGCCCCTCCGGCGGCGGGGGAGCAGTCCCCGTGCCCACCTGGGCAGGGCTGTAATGTTGTACCTGTGCTCGCAGGTGTAGCCCGCCCGCGTGGTGGCAGCCTCGGCGCACACTGAGACTCGCAAGTGGCGGCAGTCATCTTCGTTCATCGCACCGATCCAGGAGCACCCCCATTTCCCCCTGGAGCGCGCCCTCTCGGGGCTCGGGGCGGGGCGCGCTCTTGTCTGCACCCCAAATTCCCAGGCAGGCCCTTGCGTATCCCCTCAACCTCACCGGAGCCTTCGGGAGACCCCGCCGTCCCCAGCGGTGGTCGCAGCCGAAGCCCGCGTTGGGGAAGGGCTCCCGGGGAGGGGTCTTCGCGGGGAGGGGTCTTCGCAGGGGGGAGCGGCCTCCGCAGGGGGAGTGGGGCTGGAGGTTGCCTTCTGGGGACAGTGCTCCGGACATTACATCCAAGTCTCAGAGTGGCGTGGTTTAATCACAAGAGGAGACCACCTGGCTGCACGCGTCCAAGACACACCACCGTCTGCGGGACAGGCCAGCCCCACACACGAGGAAAGGGCACCTGGCGTCCCCTCCTGACGGACACCCCCATCTGTCTTTTGAGTTCCCATTTTTGATCAAGAAAGAGTAAAGAGAATGACTTATGTAGGACAGCCAACAGTGTAAGATGGTGATAAATGGCATTGACCCACAGCCTCAGCACCCCAGGACCCTGAGGAACAGTGCCCACCGGAAACCCCAGCTGATGGTCGCCCTGTGGAAACAGGCCCAGCAAACGGGGCCCAGAACGGGGATACGACGCCCTGGTCTCAGTTCAGGGCCCGGCGCCTCGGCAGGGGAGCAGCCTCCTCCTGCGCAGGTGGAGGACGAAGCTGGAGAGGTGACCCGTCCAAAGTCACACCGCTGGGCCTGCAGCTGGGCCCAGCACCTCACTCCCCTTCTGCCAGCACTTGGACGGGAGGCTGAGCCCCTTGACCGTGTCTGCATCCCTCTCTGGGAAATAATGAGCTGCCTCAATGGGGCTGCACGTCTCAGTTCTGAATAAGGAGCGAGGGAAATCCGCCAAGGCTCTGGGAGTGACGGCAGGCCTCCCACGGGCGCACACTGCATCTGCTGAGGGGTGTTTGCTGGTCTCAGGCGCCTTTGGGTGTATCCTGGGAAACAAACAGGAAAAAGTGCCAAGAAGCTTGTGGGTCTTCCTTTGGCAGTTAGCAGCACAGCATGGCTCTGTGTTTAGCAAGCGGCTGTGGCTTCTCTCTGCGGAGAACGTGGGCTTCCTTCCAAGCGACCTGGCTCTGTCGGGCGCACTTGCCTTGTGGGACAACCAGGCGTGCTGGTGTTTGCTGATGGCCTCGACAGGAACAGCCGCCAATACACAGATCAGCAGCGGCAGTTGCAAGCTGTCCCATCTCTACAGGATGTTTTCAGAGTGATTTCCCCCCAGGATTTCAAAGGTGTTTCCCCTTTTTCCTAGCCAACACCCTCTGGCCTTGGGTGCAGAGCTGCAGCCGCCCACTTTGTGGCCCCTCTCTGCAGGACTCCGCCACCGTGGTCGGGGATAATTGAGTTTCCCGTGAGTGTCCTCATTTCCCAAACTTGATTGCAGTCTTTTCATGTTAACATTCGGTTACAGAGAGCACTGTCTAATTACTCTCCTTAACTTCTTGAAAGAAGGGCATTGAGAGGTTGGAATTAGGCAGAAGTGAGAGACGCGGGTCACACTTATGGTGTGACCTTGTGGGGGGTTCTCTTCATTTCACCCCTCTAGTCTTAGTTTCCTCAACTTTAAAATGGGCTTAATAAAATAGAATGAAGATGGGCTTTTTAATAAATGGTGCTGGGACAACGTGATAACCGTTTAGAAAAAAATAAAGTTGGCTCCACAGTCTGTCCACACTGTACACCAGCATTATATGTTTCAAATGGATCAAAGATTTAACATTTTGTGAAAGAAACCATTAGATGAAGAGAAAGTTCTGGAGATGGATGGCAGTGACGGCTGCACAGCAATGTGAATTTACTTAATGCCACTGAGCTGTACACTTAAATTGGTTAAAATGGTAAGTTCCATGTCTTGTATGTTTCACCACAATAAAAAAAATAAATTTAAAAAAACATTAAAATATTTGCAGAAAATGTGGGTGACTTCCTTTAAAACTTTGGAATGGGAAAAGGTTTTTCTAATCATGATTAAAAATCCAGAAAAAGACTTAAGGCAAAAATCACCATAAGCAGTTGCAACCCACGTCACGAAGGACCATCTCCCTAATTTACAAAGGGCTCCTAGAAATATGGAAGGAAAAGACGAAAAAGGAGCGAAGGATATGAATAGATCATTCCCAAAAAAAGAAATCTAAGTGACAGAGGAAAAGATGCTCATAATAAGAGAAAAGCACGTTAAAATGACATTGCAATTCCATTTCTCATCTCTCAGAATCCAAAAATCAGACCACATCCTCTGATGGGGATGTGGGAACGGGCCCTCTCATGCTGCTGGTGGGAATGCAGGAGGGGCGTGGAGCAGCCTCTTCCACACTTACCTTGGACCCTACTTGTTCTCAGAGTATATGAGGCTCGTCACTGTGGCATCAGCTGTAAGAGCAAAAGGTGGAAAACCACCAAGTTGTCATCGTTAAGGGACAGGCTAACCAAACTGGGGGACATCACACGATGGAGTACCACGCAGCTGTAAAGACAGGGGTGCAGAAGATCCCCGTACTTGGACATGAAGACTTCCGGGGTATGTTGTAAATGTGTGAGCAAAGAGCAGCACTGGTTGTGTGATGTGCTGCCTTTAGGGAGGAGGGGAGGGAGAGGAAAACATGGATTCGTGCTTGTCTGAATCTACAAAAGGAAGACTGGGGGGAAAACAAGAAGCTAATAGAAAGGGCTGCCTTGGGGGTCAGGTGTGGATGGGGCACAGACAGAAACGAAACCTCTTCATGTTGTTTCCTTTCCACTGTTGGACCGTGTAAGTGTATTACCTATTCAAAACTATAAAATTAAGTTGAAATGAAAGAGAGGGAAACATGCAGGACTCTCGTGAGAGTTCAGTTTCTAAACAGCCGTGAGGACCTGTGCGCCTTGCCTGGTCCCTGGTCGGCCTTGATAGGTGGTCCCTTTTATTGCAGCTTGACGGCAGAGGCAGCATGGGTTATGCCAGATAAACTGCCCTCTTCTCCCTGGGAAGAGTCCCTCGACCATCAGGGCCCCAGGACTGGGTGGACCAGGCCCCATCTCCCAGCTGTGTGGAGCTCTTCCTGGGGAAGAGCCTGGGGCACTGCTGGCAGGGGCAGGGTCCACGCTGCCCTGCCCTCCTTCCAGAGAGTTGGAGGTAGGGAGTGCCATGGGGCGAACTCAGGTGGCCCTGGCCAAAGTCCAGGGACAGGGAGGGACACTAAAGGCCCCACGATCCATTACTCTGTGGGGAAGAGGAGAGGCAGGGGCAAAGGCTATCTCCAGCCCTGAGGGGGCAGCTGGTCTCCCTGAAGTGGTCCCCAGCAGTTACTACCCCCAGAGTTCCCATAAACACCCCCAGGGGCCCTAACCCCAGAAAGGTGAGGGGTTGGAACCTTGGATAGGCCAGACTTGGGGACATCCTGCTGCACGTTGCCCCATGGGTGGACAACTACAGCTCTCTAGGAACTGAACTGGGCCAGTATTTAACCCCACGCTCTGTGAGGGGACAGCCATTGCAGGCGGGTGTTTGCTGACCGTGGAAGGAATGACTTGTGCTTCTCTGCATGGCCGGCAGTGCTCTGAGACGCCTTCCCTTGTCCGGCGCTGTCCACCACCGCCCTCTGAGGTTGAGGAACGGGAGGTTCAGCGAGGAGAGGTTCAGAGAGGCAGGACCGCTCTGGCCGTGCAGAGGCAGGCCCGCACCTCTGCCTCCGACTGTGCCTCCACTCTCAGGGCCTGGCTGGGCCACAGCGGTCCTTCCTGGAAAGTTTCAGCAGACCCAAGACCCCTCCCAAGAGTATGGGTGTCTGGCCCAGTTCCCTGTGACCAGGCCCGTGCAGACTGAGTTCTCTGCCAGGAAGCAGCGGGTGGCCACGGTGGGCGTTTGGGGCGGGTGGCCGGGGAGCGTCTGCTTGTCCCCACCTGGCTTCTGGGGCAAAGGAGGCTGTTGGTTGGCTTGGGGAGGAATCAGTCTGGAAACCATCAGTCCTGAAACAGCCTTTCTTCCTCTAGCAGAGGGGAAAGGGGCACCTCCGAATTTAAAATCTGGGAGGGGGGAAAGGGGCCCTGGGGAGGAAGGAAGCAGAATTTAGCTTCCAAACACCCTCTGCCATTGTCCTGCCGTGTGGCCTCGGGCAGATTGGTCCCGTCTCTGAGCCTCTTTCCACATCCCTAAACAGAGAGTAGGATTGATTTGAGGATCAGATGGTGGAAGCTGTTTGTAAAATGTAAAGCATCTCAGGTAAAAAGACTGTCATTGTTATCATAATGATGATGATTATATATTTGTTTCTTATGAAGTAATAAAGTTGATTCACAATTTGAGAGCAACTTGGTCAAGATTCTTGAGGAAAATACCTTCCTCACCTCCACCCCCCTGCCCACTGCCTCTCCCTCATTCACAGGGCAACAGCCTATTCTCTTCACGGAGCACCTCCCCAGGAGAGGTTCCTGCCACCTCCTGTTGATATTTCCAGCCCACCAGCTGCCAGCGGGCCTGTTGGAGAGGGCACACCTGGCTGCCCTGTGGGGCCATCCGGGTCTGCGGCCGCCGCCCCACCCTGGCACTGCACCTCGCTTAGTTCACGGATGCAACAGGAGAGCCTGGCCCGTTTTTCAGGTGGG